GGGGGGGCTTGGGAGATAGCTTAGTGGTAGAATGCCCGAGTTCAATTCTTAGAATAAACAAAACAAAAACCAAATCCAGTGCTGAGGTTGTAACTCAAAGGTAGAGCACTTGCCTACCATTTGTGAGATCCTGGATTCAATCCCCAATACTGGGGGGAAAAATATAGGATTTTAGTAATTAAATTTTAATAAATTATTAATTACTAATGTAAATAAACCTCTATTTCAGACATGGAAACATTTTTAGATTATTATTTTCCAGTATAACAAATAATGCTGGAACAATATATTTATGAGTATCTGATTATTTCCTTAGGATATATACCTAGTGGTAGAACTAATAGATCAAAAAGGAATCAGGGCTGGAATTGTGGCTTAGAGGTAGATTGCTTGCCTCGCATGTGTGTGGCACTGGGTTTGATCCTCAGTACCATATAAAGTAAAGACATTGTGTCCGCCTGTAACTAAAAAATAAATATAAAAAAAGAATGGAATCAAAAGTTCTATCCTCAAAACGTTAGTTAACATCTTGAGAATCACCAAGAACTTTAATAAATTATTCTGTCATTTCCATAAATCATAAAAATATTGGAAGACTTTAAAACATATATAGGGGTGTGTGTGTGTGTGTGTATTAGATAGACAGTCATGCTGAAAACAAAGGAACTCTCCATAGACCAAGTCTGTGAGGCCTCTCTGGGGAAAGGAAACAGATGAGAAGCTGCAGGGATAATGGCAACCATTCACAACACAAGAAGATGCACAAGAAACTTCTCAGGACACATAAGTGCTCAAGTAAGAATCTTCAAACATCTGAAGAAGGCTATCCCATAAAAATGAGACTTCACAAGCTCATTATACAAGTATTAATACAGAACACTGAAAATAATTTTAAAACAAATGTGATTATATTTAATATCCTCAAAGAACTAAAGAAGAAAACCTCGTCCATGAATTAACATACAGTTTTGAAAACTAACCAATTAGAAATCTGAGACACAAAAACAATTGCTAAAACAAATTTAATAGATGGCTGAATAAGAGAACAGACTCACATGAACAGCTAATTAGTAATCTGAAAGACTGAACTGTGCAGTTTATGGAGAACCCAGAGCAAAGAAACAAGAGGAAATACAAAACAGAGAGAATGTACATGAGACAATATTGACTAAGAAATTCTCAGAACTGAAATACAAATAGGACCACCGAGTCCACTGAGTGCTAACTACGACACAATCGGTAATATAAACCAGTAAACAATCTGTGGTAAGTTTCAGAATACACATAATAAAGGCAGTATTAGAAATTTTAAGAAAAATCTACATTATCTAAAAGGAACATGTATAAGATTGGTAATGAGACTTCTCACCAGATAAACCAAATACAAAATGTTAAAGGAAAGTAGGTATGAACTCATAATTCTATTTCTTTCCAAGATCTCTGATACCAAAAGTAGTTTTCAACAAATTCCAAAAGAACTATGTGACATAGATCTGTCACTGAATATAAGTAAAAATCAAAATTAACATTAAGTTAAGCTCTACCTTACACTATTCTCTTGAAATTTATAAAAAACATGTGTACGGCCATACCACCTGAACGTGCCCGATCTCGTCTGAAATTTATAAAAAACAAATTTCCAAATAACCTATTGTTTACAGAGGACAGCAAAGCTTTAAAAAATATCAATATTCAAAAATTTTTAAATATTGAGAAATGGAGATCAGCTGAAATAATATATATCAAACCTGAAGAAAGGGTTCTGTCAGAACAACATACAGAGAAATAGTTAAGCCTTAAATGAGTTTTTTCACTAGAAAATGAGAAAATTAAAATTATTCACATAATAATTAAATTGAAGCTGAGAAAAGAGAAACAAAATAAACAATAAATGAAAGGTATATCTGTGTATACACTAAAAAGATTTTTAAATACGCTAAAGTTCAAATAACATTATAGCAATACACATGTGAACTGAAATTTTCGAGGAAAATATGAAATACCAAATGGGCTCAAGCCAGGCACAATAGTGCACACCTGTAATCCCAATAGCTCAGGAGGCTGAGGCAGGAAGATCATGAGTTCAAAGCAAGCCATAGCAAATTAGCGAGGCCCTCAGCAACTTAGCAAGACCCTGTCTCAAATTATAAAATATAAAAAAGGACAAGGATGTGGCTCAGTGATTAAGAACCCCTGGATTCAATTCCTGGTACCAAGAAACAAACAAACAAACAATAAAAGCCCCACAAAAAAATCCAAATGGGCTCAAGAAGTAAAATACCATCTAGATAAATAAGCATAAAAAGAAATGAAAACAATAAAGATCTTGGGCTGTGGGCATAGTAAAACAATAATTCAAACAAACAAACAAAATAACCAATAAAGATCTAACCAGAGTTGCAGGCCACACAGTCCCATCCCCTCATTCCCAATATAGCAGGTCCATGAAGTTGTAGATGAACTGTACAAAGCTTTTAAGGAATGCAATTTTCTATTCTATACAAACTGTTTCAAAGTAGGAAAGATACAGAAAAATATTCAACTCTTTTTATGAAATTAGTATAATCTGAATTGTAGGAAAAAAACTCAAGGCCAAAATCACTTCCAGGTATAAATTTAAAAATGTTACATAAAGGTATCCAGTGGTATAGTAAGATTAGAGTAAGACTCAGGAATACTCAAGAATTTTAACACTGGAAAAGTTATCAGTTCAAATTCTTACATTAACAGATAAATAGAGGAAAACTGTGGTCTTAGATGAAAAACAAAGGAAAAGTTTTCAACAAAAATTAATCACTTTGAAGCCTGGCATGGTGGCACATGACTGTAATCCCATGCACTCAGGAGGATTTCAAGTCTGAGGCCAGACTCAGTAATTTAATTAGACCTTGCCTCAAAACAGAAAAATGAAAAGAACTAGGGACATAGTACAATGGTAGAACAACCCTGGTTTCAGTCCTAGTACATGGCAAGGAAGTGGAGATAGGGAGTCAATCACTTGGGGACAGTGAGGGTGCTTAGCAAACTAGGAATAAAAGAGAACCTCCTTAATTTGATATAGACTATCAAAACCTGGTAGAAAAACTTTTTAAAAAATTATATAGGATATCAACCAGGTGTGATAATGCATGCCTGCAGTCCCAGCTACTTGGCAGGCTAAGTCAGGATCACATAAACTGGCCAGCATGGGTAACACAACAAGACCCCTGCTTGTTTAAAAAAGCATGGGTAACAAGACTCTTCTCTGGTTTAAAAAAAAAAAAAAAAAGTGGGCTGGGGATGTGGCTCAAGCGGTAGCCCGCTTGCCTGGCAGGTGTCTGGCCGGGGTTCCATCCTCAGCACTACATACAAACAAGGATGTTGTGTCCGCTGCAAACTAAAAAAATAAATAAAATAAAAATTCTCTCATATTAAAAAAAAAGTACACAGTGTTCAGGACATATAAAGAATTCCTTAAATCATTAAAGTGATCCTATAGAAAATCAGGTAGTTTTAAAAATATAGTAATTGATATAAAGTATATAAGTTAATAAACATGAATAGCTATTCCAACATTAAGTTAGAGAATGAAAATTAAGAGTCATTTTTAGTCTTCAGATGTGCAAAAATTAAGATATTATTTGGGGGTTGGTCTAGACTGTAGGGAAACTGAACTCTCAAACTATTGTTGAATGGGTAAATTAGTAAAGACATTTTGGAGCAAACTTGGTAGGACCTACTAAAACTATGTTCATAACTTAAAACCAAATAATTACATTTTTAGGTGTATATCCTTCATAAATAAAAACATGTGCAAAACAAAACACAAAGACATTTCCTGCAGCAATGTTAATATGAAAAACTGCAAACAACCTAAAGTCCATTAAGAGAACAAAGCACATATCAAACAAACTAGAATTTAATGTGAAAACCACTAAAAGAGGCAGAAAGATTTCACATTAACAGGACAACTCAGACTTACACTGGAGTACTACGCAACAGGTATAATAAATGATTTCTAAATAACATGAACAATGAATAACGTGTATGTGCGGCAAAAACATTTTGGAGAGAAGAAATAAGTTGCAGAATGATTCCATTAAATACATATATGTGACTTTAGAGACTAAACTTCATATAAAAAGATTTGAAGGCTCTGTACCAGTCTTAAGTGTGATGAAGGGCAGGGGAGTAAAAGCATTCAGGGATTCTGGTCTAGCTCTTTATCTGTTAAGGTTCTAATTTTGTCAAGGGAGAATGTAAAAGTGTACTCAAGTGTACCATTTTCAGAAAGGAATCATCTATTTTAGTGTGTTACTTGCACTGCCTTCTAGAAAAGGGCCAACTTATATTTCCACCTAAGTACACTAGGAGCTTTAAAAAAAAGCTCTCTCTAGTGCAATTCACACCTTCCTAAAATTTGAAGATAAGTCAATTTACAAAACCCTCACTGAAAAATATTAGCAAGATGCAGGAAATCATAAACAAAAAAATTTAAATCACTCACAAATTTATCCTCCAGAGAAAGACGATGCTAATATTTCAGGATAACTGGGATTTTAAAATTTGTTCCCTTTTTTTCTTGTCATTTTTTTCATTTTTGAAGAAAAATTAAGTCGGTCTCTTTTGCTTCAATGTATAGTTCCTTTCCGTTTTTAAAAGGATAACACAATGTGACCATTCCTCTTGGTTCCCTATTTTAATTATGAGGATGGTAAAGACATTTGAGTATAAATCACGTGTTGGGAACGTTTTTCTTTTCTTTTTTGGATGAGGAAGCTTAGGATGTCACATTGTAAGTGGCACATAATTAGGGAACCAGACAGCCTGGTATCAAGAGCCCATGTTTTGTTTACTCTACCGCCTCAAAGTTAGCCCTCTTTGCTTGGGCTCCTTCCTTCATATATGCAGAACTCACTGCAGATTTCCACATGGTAAAGAGCGGCAAATCAAATACTGTTCTGTGCTGTTTTTATTTATTATGGCTACTGAAATCAGGAGCTCCTAGGATCTAATATAAACTCCGGGGTATTGGATAAAATGACTTCACTTATTTAAGGCTGTGCCATCTTACCTGGGAAATGGGTCAGTAGTTAATCCTTCAAGTTCTGCTTCTGGATTTTATACTGTAGATCATTTCCTATGGCCCCTTTTAGATCCTCGGGTTCCCAGCTGAACGGGAATCACCTCTCATTAAGTTGTGCACCGTAAGATAGAATGAAATAGGGATTGAGAACTCAAAGCAACCGCTGTCCCTTCTCCAGTCCGGGACTGCACGTGGGTGCAAAGGAAAGGGAGAGTGCACGGGCTGGCGTGCAACCTCTGCTCACGCGGCGGAGGGCTCCAGGACGTTTTTTGCAGGAACCGTCAGGGAGCTACCCACTGCCGTGCCACAGCTACACCGACTCCTCTGCGTTTTCCAAGCCGCCCGCCAAACCGGAGGGTGGCGCACCGCCTGCTCCGTTAGCTAGGCTGGATTCGCCTGCGGATCAGGTTCTTCAATTTCTCGTCGCGGAGACTACGCGGCTTCAGGTGCCCTATGGCCAGGAAGTACTTCACCGTTTATTACACTTCACCTCAGCCCGGGAGGGGCAAGCGCGCAACCTTTAACATCCAAGCCACGCTACAGCGATCACTAACTGGGAGGAGTCGGAAACCAAAAGCATTCCACCACCTGGCCCAGAGCCCATTGGTCGCACTCCCCACCGGGTCTACACCTCAGCAGCTTCGCTCGCTGACCACACCCGCTAAGCGGCGGCTTCCCGAGCGCGCCGCCTCCTGATTGGCTGCCAGAGCTCTGGTCTTGTCTCGCGCTTCCTGGACGGGCCAATGGAGTTACCCGTAGTCTAAAGGCCAGGATCGCTGGAGTGGTGGCGCAGCTGTTTCCTTCGGTATGTGTCAGGCTGCCATCTTGTGTGTGGCTAGAAATGGGCTTTGCGGTGGTTGAAAGCTTATTTAGCAGCTGTCCTTGTAGAAGAGTTCTGGGGGAAGAGACGGGAGAGAGGAGGGACCTGAGGGAAGAAACTTGGCGCCTTCTTTCTTGAAAGCACAGGTTTCTTGAATCGAGTTTCATCCCGGGCTAGGGGAAATGAGCGTGGTGGTGGCTGTAGTGATACCAAGCTTTGGTTTGTTGGTCGTTGTTGGGTTTAGTGGGGTTGTCGTGCCTCTACTTTGAATTCTTGGTTTCCGAGAGCTGTTTCTCAGCAGTCTGATCAGAAAAGATTCTGACCGTTCGACCCCCTTTATTGGTAAAGGAGGCTGGCTGATGGACTGCAGGATTCAGAAACCAAAAAGGCTGCTAATGGAAGGGGAAAGATGCCTCACCAGCTGTTTTCAAATTCGAAAAAGAACCCTTCATTTTTTTTGTCGTTTGCCTCAATGGCTGCTAAACCGCTGTTCTTAAGAGTTGCTATTTGTGTGAGGCCGTCCTTTGTATTAGGGAAAGTCAGGTTCTGCGTTTACATAAAAATTGATTAGCGTGCAACCAGCATTCCTGCAGCCTTTTTGTTTTGTTTTGTTTAAGCTAAGAGTGGTAGTCTTTGCAGTAACAGGGAAACTGAAAGAAGAATTTTTTCAAATCTTTATTTCCCCGGTTTCAAGGTGTTCTTGAGTTATAAATCTTTGCATTTGCTGTGCCATGCTTGGTTGCTTAGTCATGGAGCAGGAGGAGGCATTTGTAGGGGAAAGCACCTTCTGAGTTCTTTGGGGTTGGGAGGGAAAAAAAAAAAAGGAGAATTACCTCGTTTTCTTTTTCTTTCTTTCTTTCTTTCTTTTTTTTTTTTTTTTTTTTAAGTTTTTACGTAGAGAAAACACCTGTATTTTCGTTTGAGGAAAAAAAAAATTATTGGATCTGAACCAAGCCGACAAAAGAGCAATATTTTTTTGATTAACTTTAGCTGTTTAACGTGCATGAAAAGAAAGTGGAGAAAGTTATCTGCTTCCAGTTTATTGTTCAGTTATTCAAGGTTAACTGATGACCCTATTAAGTCTACCGTACATGATGTAAGCATTTTGCAGAAACAACAACAACAAAAAGTAGTTGACACTCTAAATTAATTTTGTGTTTGAATTCATGAACCTTATAAAACCTAAGTTGTAATAATTCAAATATCAGTAATTTTGTGTCGATGGCTAAAGAACATGTTAACACATTAAGTCCCAAGTTTTCAATTCTGCAAACAATTGTTACAAAGTTATCATAAGTGGTATATTTGTCAAGCAATTTTAAGTTTGGTTTTTTTAAACTGTTTCACATCGGGAATAATGGAACAGAATGGGTTAATATTATATTATTATAAGTTAATATTATCAAGTTGGAGAAAAATGAATAAAAAACATCATAGGGGTTGGGGATGTACTTCAGTGATGCAACCACTACATGCTTAGCATGCTGGAGGTCTTGGATTCAATGCCTAGCAGCAAAAAAAAAAAAAAGAAGGAAATGTAATCCGAAGTCAGCAAATGTATTCTAAAACATTGGTATCTCATTCACCTGTTGTGAATGCATATTAGACCATATATTGTTGAATAAAAAGTACAGTGATTGAGAAATATGGATATTCATTTTTTAAGCCTAACTGAAAAACAATTTTTTAACCTTTTTGGAAAACTTGACTTTCTGTTTGGACTAAATTTATTTGTAACTTCCACTTCACACATATAATATTAAGGACAAGTTTATGATCATTTTTCTGTTTCAGGATTTCACAATAATCTGAAGATCTTTAGAATTTTTTTTAATGGTGTTTTGTATGAGCTATGTTAAATGATTAAGTAAAATCAGTTTTCACTTAGATTTATAAGGTAGATATGATTTTCCAGTGCTATACCATTGAATGTACAAATTTAGATTTTCCCATTATCTAGTAAAGCACTATTTAGTTAAAAAAATTATAACACCTTTTAAGTGAATGTAGTGTAGTCTGACAGATTGTATATTATAATGTTTATGTGATTCAATATAATAAAGTCAATAAACTGCTTATGGAACCTGTTTTGGAAGTTTTGCCTTTGGCATTTTAATAATTATGAGTTAAGACTTTATGGTGATTATGAGCACTTCTCATGAGGGTTTGATCCCCAGCACTGCAAAAAAAAAAAAAAAAAAAAAAGTAGACAAATATACACTTAAATATATTCAATCACTGAAAAACCAAATTATGTACAATCATCATTTTTAAAAAATTGTTTATTTTGGTGTTAGGTATTGGTACTAAAAATGCAGCACACAGTATATACTACTGAGCTACACACCAGACTCTTAAAAAATTATTTTTATTTATATATCTCTTGATACTGGTGATTAAACCCAGAGGTACTTTATCACTGAGCTGCATTCTCAGCCTTAAAAAATATTGTAAAAGTCAAAATGACCACTGTAGTTTGTGATAATGGATAAAACTAAGTGAATGCCTGCATCATGAGGATTTCCGTCAATCACAGACTATTTTAGACAAACAGTGGAACATTCAGATTGTTTCACTTAATGGGAAAAATTTTAAAGTATGTGGGCTTTTTTTTTTTTCTTTCAGTGCTGGGAATAAATCCAGAGCCCTGTATATGCTAGGCAATAACTTTACCACTGAGCTATATCCCAGCTATTTGGCTTTTTTTAAAGGATGGAGGGATCCTTTTCTAGGTAAACCTGTAATTTCTCCCCTTTGTAATCTCTAATCCTTAAATTATTATTTGAATGCAAATGAACCCAAGTCTATGGCAGATTTTCTCTCCAAACACTTCAGACATTTCTCATGGCCTTTTGATAGAGGAAGAGTTGTATACAAATTGAGTAGATCTATCCTGATTATTGGTCTAGGAATCTTCCATGTGGCTCAAATTTAAAACCAAATTCTTACTTCTCCCTTTGCCCAACTGGATAACTCCAAAATACCTTTCCTATTCATCTTTCTGTTCTCACTGCCAGTGCTGAAATGAAGCCACTCTAAATTTTTACTTTTTTTTTTTTTAGTTGTCAATGGACCTTTTATTTTATTTATTTATATGCGGTGCTGATAATTGAACCCAATGCCTCACACATGCTAGGCAATCACTCTGCCACTGAACTACAATCCCAGCTTTCTGTACATTTTATATGCCATTGTATTCTTGACAAAGCCAATATTCCTCAGCTTGGACTTTGTATTAGTTAATGTACAGGTTTGAGCCAGACACTGGAATAAAACTGTTAATTCTGGCTCCTGGAGAGTCTTGAGATAGGATTACCAACCTGAGTTATTTAACAGGACTCAAAATTAAAAGGGTTAGGAATGTATCTCAGTGGTAGAGCTCCCTGTGTTCAATCCTCGTACTGCAAATAATAAGCCAGGCAGATGGCACATGCCTGTGATCCTAGTGACTTTGAGAGCAACTCCAGCAATTTAGCGAAGCCCAGTTGCAAATAAAAAGGACTGGGGATGCAGCTCAGTGGTAAAGTACCCCTGGATATTCAATCCTGAGTATCAAAAAATAAAATAGTAATAATAGATATTTGGCTACTATGATAAACTAAAAAAGTAATTGTGACTGTTAAAGAATAAAGTTTAGCTGGGCCTATGCCTGTAATTCAAGCAGCTCAGGAGACTGAGGCAGCAGGATTGCAAGTTCAAGACGAACCTCAGCAATTTAGAAAGACCCTATCTCAAAATAAATGTATAAAAAGGCTAAGGGTATATGTAACTCAGTGATTAAGCACCCCCTGGGTCCAATACTCTCTTTCCTGTGTAAAAGCACAAGCTGTCAGCACCCCCGCCCCCCCCCCCACGCTCCTGTCCCCTACTCAGGCCACCTCATCATGCAGACCCAGACTGTGAACCAACATAGCTGATTTACATCCTGCCCTTCACCACAGGCCTAAACTGAAAAATCAAGTCTATTGTGCTAGGGGATAAGTCCTTGCAAGTGGTAATAGTGTTGCAGGAATCAGGCAAGAAGCTGCCAAGGACACTTAAAGAGTGAGAGAAACCAAAGTTTATTTTACTCTGGCGGCCCAGAGAGATCAGCACTCCAGATTCTGAGCACTCCTTACCAGTTTTTCACAATATTTATAGGCTATCTAATGTCATAAATTTTCTAGTCTAAAACGATACTGGTTGTGCACAAGGGTTCAAAAAAGATACATGACTGTGTGAAAGAGGTTTCTGGCAGAAGCCTGTTTACAGAAGCAGAGTGGGGTAAGGAAGACTGGCTCCTCCTCCCCTCCCTCACAGGGGCATTTACACTCAAAGGAAAGTAGTTAGATCCTAGGGAAAGTCTTTTACAATCCAAAAGGTAGAGTGAATGGTGCTAATTATGTTCTCCTGAAAACCCACTAACTGGAAAGGCACTAACTTTCACAGTGTCCTTATTTTTTATCCAGGCCTGGGTTAGTTACACATTACAATGGGAGCTGAACTTTATGTCCTAGCTTATTTTTTTTTTTAAAGTTAGTTTTATGGACTGGGGTTGTAGCTCAGTGGTAGAACACTTGCCTAGCATATGGGAGGCACTGGGTTCCAATTTCCAGCATCGCATAAAAATAAATAAATAAAATAAAGGTATTGTGTCCATCTACAAGTAAAATAAATAAATATATACATATATATTTAAAAGTTAGTTTATATTGTCACAGAAAAAATTCAGTAAGTCGTCATTTCTGTTAGAAATCACAAACTTTTGATGACTCTGTCAAGTTCTTGACAGTTATACAGTGGTATAAGATAAGGTAGCCTGTGCTCCTCAGATACTATATGTCTGACCTATATTACTACAGGTAGGGCCTACTTGGTACTTCATATTTCTCTTAAACAGTGGTTCCTTGGTACCCTTTTTACTCTTTACTTTTTGTTTTTCTTTGTGTGTGTGTGTGTGTGTGTGTGTGTGTGTGTGTTGCTAGGGATCAAACTCAATACCTTGT